TTCGGCTGGGTCGGCTGGCGTTCGGCTGGGTCAGCGGCTGGCGTTCGGCGAATTCGGTTACGGCTCGGCTGCCGAATTTTCAAAATGTTTAAAACATTCGTGAGGCGTGCAGGAGGTTGCTTGTCTTCGACCGTGAGTCAGCAAAACACCCACCAACCATCCGGGCTAATTTTTACAGAAAATTATGTAGGGATGGGGAATAATTTCTATCCGATTATTTGTCGTTTCTAAGCACAAATTACAGTGTAGCTAACAGCTATTCAGAAATTATAAATATTTATGTCATGTTCGAATTCGAAATTATAATTAAAGATAAAAATACAACAGCTCTACTGATGGAACCTTTTTTCTCAACTTATTTTCAGTTTCTCTAATGACACTAACAACAACGCCATTCTCACCCTCAACTCGTCTTGCAACGTTGACTGCGCATGCTCAGAGACGTCCTTTACCCCAGTCTGTGGTGCCGACTGGAAGACGTACTTCTCGCCGTGCATGGCGGGATGTAAGGAGACATCCGGGCCCGGGGTAAGGAGAAGACCCTGTACTACCATGTCGCCTTGGATAGTTATGTTTACCGAAGGAAAACATATTGTTTATGATCTGTTTCCTCTTCTTCTTCTCCAAACCAATAAGGTCAATGACCTGAATAAGACGTCTGTCACCATGACGACCAGTTTTACGTTACATCATGTTGCAATTTTATTGCAGGAAGGACTTAGACTCCGGTCTGACCATATACATGTATATGAATATGTTTGATTAAGAATTAACAGAGCAGATCATACGGAAGGTAAACATTATGCATTTGTTTTGCAAATGTTACCTTTCTAGTTTACTTGTAGTATTTTTAATGAACTATGGAATGATGATGATTGTAGGTTAGCTTAGAAAGTCACATTGGAGTGAATTGACAACCAAAGATGACGCTTTACTACTATCTATTGGGGGTGTCATGAGTAGTAACAATCCGCCCGATCCTCATTGCGTGCAACCTCTCGTGCAATCCCGTCCGACGGTGCTCTCGCGTGAGCCGATTCAAAATGCTGTGGTTAGTGCATTTCGTCCGTTGAAAGTTTAAAAAATGAATTAAAACATTAATTTTATACCGGCGTTTAGTTTTCTGTTCTTGTATTTTCTAGAACTTCAGCAGCTGCAGCTGTATACCTCTTGATGTAGTCGCCACGCCGGGACAGTGTCTGTCTGCCTGTTCAGCCAAGTCCATTCATTACATGGTGGTCACAGCTTTTATCGCTGTCCTGACCGGAATGGGACACACTCCAGGAGTTATCATCGTATTGAGGTAAGTAAAAGTATTGGAATTTATGCAAAAATTGCACTTCAAGCAGTACTAACAGCATCTGGGTCTGTTCACGGTGGTTAGCCTGGTATCCACTGGCTGTCTATCGCCGGGTTGGGGCAGGATGTCTTCGGGGCTCTAATAGTTTTCCCCCGTCCAGCTCAACAGGCCGCCCGGTAGGAGTTACGCCTGCGATAGAATTTGACACACCGGGAGTTGATTTGCTCAACGATTCTGGAGTGGCTAATCAATCTCCCATCGTGAAAAAAGCCTACCGGGGAACCTAGCTAAAGGCGGGCGGGGAAGAGCTTCAGCAGCCCCGAAGAAAACCCGCCCCAACCGCGATAGACTGGGTACCAGGTTAGTCCTTGGTCATCTTCTTTTTACTGATCGCCAAGATAATCCAATGGACGCCAAGTTATCCGTCACAGTTCTTCTCCAGGTGGTTTTAGGTATACTTTTTTTTTCTTTTCCTTTCTTATGTTTTTTTTCTTGTGTCCATTCGAAATACATAGCCAAGCTAGTCCCCTGTTATGACGTATGTAGATATTCTTTCAACTGAACCGGTTTAGAGGTCCTCCTAAATTTAAATTAGCCTCCATTTGTAAAATGGAGGCTAAACTTAGAATTGATTTGATGATTCCATACAACATCTTTACAAATATCAATCAGAGAGAGATCGTCTGAAATGTAGAGATAGTAAATTTCTATATTTTTCTCCAGGTCTGTGAAGAAGGCAGACAAGACGTATGCCCTGGGGCTACAAAATCTCTTCACGGAACTTCTCGGTGAGTTTTACGTAGAGCTGTGTACCTAGCTAAACCCATGTTCAGGTCTAGGTCCGGATTCAAGTCCAGAGATGTAGGTAAAAGTCCGGACCTAAACCCAGGGCATGTACAAAATACGGAAGGGACTTCTCAGTAAACATTTCCCAAAGGAAACTTGAGCATCTTTACTGCAAAATGTTGTAGCGAGCATTGCACTACCAGGGTTTCGAAGCAAGATACTAGTACGTGTATGTTGTTAGCGGGGCACGTCTGGGCAAAACTGTAGCCACAAAATTTACGGAGGCCGACACTCGACGATGCCTAATGGCAATGTATTCTTTATTTTGCAGCGCAAATTTTGACTATTGAAGATTTCAGGTGGTTTCGGACACTTCCCCATTACTCATTCTACCATTTGTTAATCTTGTATGCGTGTTTATACCTTTTATATACATACTTCACACGTTTTTCTTGTCCAATAAGGCACTGAAATTTGCTTCCTCATTTTAAGGCCTGGATACGACTTGGTTTTTGATATCAGTTGCATTAAAACAGGATTTGAAAAATAGCTGAAGTGTTTCATTTTGTCTTCAACAGCCGCCATCCCAGCTCCCATTTACTTTGGCGTCGCCATTGACAACGCCTGCCTGTTATGGCAGTCCGTTTGCGGAAGCCGCGGTGCATGCTGGGTATATGATACCGCCAGCTTCCGGAACATTTTCATTGGGATGGTTACAGGTAAAACTTGTCTAATGGTAAAAATGTATGTCACCTTGAAAAAGTATGACACAAAATAATGGCGATCCTTATTTTTAAGAATTTAGCTGTAATACCTCCCAAAATAGTGGTTGGCACAGCTGACATGGCTCACTGTTAACGTTCGCGATAGACTACTCATATACTATGATATATATATGCGTATTTTGTACAGTCTTATTATCATGATTCAAATACAAATGTACTTCCTTTATAATGCTGCTGAATCAGGACCCGAAAATTCTCTAACAGCATAGCATCAACTTAGCCTAGGGTTTCATACAGCTTTTTCCTTTCACGTATGATTTGATTTGATTTTTTGAGATTGTAATAATACAATACACGTGGGACACAGGCAGCTGTTGATGGTGTTGTGTCCCACATATAGAAACAGATACAGGACTGTACAATACGCATTTTCACTTGAGTTAAGTGAGGGGAATCGTACTTTTCTCAAGTGCACAAGATCAGTGGCATCTCAGGACTCGAACCCGGGATCTCTTAGGTTTCGAGTCGAGCACTCTTCCGTGACCCCACCCTGATTTGATGAACGTAAATACATTCGTCTATCTTTTTTCGATGATTCTTCCCAGGTATCAAAGGCCTGACCATCATCTTCCTCGTGATATCTCTGTTCTTCGCGCATCGCGGGAGGAGGCGGGGTACGCTGGCGGACTATGGTGACGATGGCGCCGAGGGAGAGCCTGACATCGCCGCGGCGGCCTCCATGGCTTCCCTCAACGTAGGGACGTCACCGTTAGATTTTGGCTATAGGGAATTCGTGGAAGAACACGAAACATCGCTTTAGACATGTTTCATTTGAAGATGATGTATTAGCTTACCTAACACAGTGTGAGTTACTGCTCCTTGGCTTCATCAGCTGCTTCCTTCTGTCCTCGTGGGTTTCGCCCCCTATAGCAGGACCCACTCAGGAAGGCGGGGCAGCAGTGCTGGCCAAACACTGCTAGCCAAGGTTCTTCGGGATCCACTCTCCATCTGTGCTCTTGACCCAGAGCCATCGGGATGCTCTCTCTGCCTCCTCTGCGACTCTCTTTGTCACTTCCCTCCTTCTTCTGCCCTTCACCCCTACCGCTCCTAACATCCTCCATGTTGACTGGCAGATGAAACCTCTCGTTCCCACCTCCACGGGGAAGCACATCGCTCTCCATCCCTTGTCTTTACATGACTGCACTAGGTCTCGGTACTTTAGTGCCTTCCTCTCATGTGCCTCTTCTACTCTTTCCTCCCATGGGACTGTAAGTTCAATCATGGTCACTTTCTTTGCCTGCCTTGACCACAGAACCATGTCTGGTCTGAGGTTTGTTGCCACTATCTCTTCCGGGAAGGTCAGTTTATTATATCTATCTATCCCTATCTATGTCCGCCTATTGTGGGCAAATGAAATTATTTGAAAAATTAATATTGATAATTTGATCCCGCTTTGGAGTGCATTTGTAAACATTGTCCAAACTAGAATTCCACGATCTCATACGTTCGCCAAATTAGGGTTACCCATCGATTGGCGAGTTATGCTTCTTATTGAAATGATTTATTACGATGCTCATTTGACTGAATTATATCTTGAATTATGAAATATATCATATTCATAAAATATGTCATATTTCATCTCCACCGTCTTATCTTAACAAAGGAGGCTATTCTAGCATTCTCTAATAGATAATGCAAATGAGGTCTTAATTTTAATAATTTATTCTTAATGATGAAGATGACTGACATTCAAATAAATACGGACACACAAGATAACAAACAAACAAACGAACACATTGGGCACAAAAATCTCCGTAACTAAGGATATTTAACTTTTATTAATTAGCATACAATGTAAAACAGTGATCATGAAGTCTATATATAAACGATTAATTGTACTGCTGTGACTGTGATATTGTTGTATGTTATTGGCATTGTGTAGTTGTAATTGTATACTATTGTGTTGATCGTAATATATGTGAATGTGAACTGTGATATTGTTGTATGTTATTGGCATTGTGTAGTAATTCTATACTATTGTGTTGAGTATGAAGTGTAATAATATTGTGTTGAGTGTAATATATGTGACTTTTAAGAAGACTAGCGATGGGCCTTTCTAATGGTAATTTAAATAAAGTCTAAACCTCTCAAAGCCTGCACGGAGGGGATCCATTGAGCCCTGGAGGCAGAGTGTAAGTTTAGAAGTAACGCAGCTAGCACCCTTCACAGTCCCCCCGCAATTTTCAGGTGCTCTCCCGTAGTGAAGGGGCAGGTGTCGCTGCAGAGCCAGCACACTGCCTCAGCAACCTCCTCGGGCGCCGCGAATCGACCGACAGGGACCCTCTTAGGGTCCTGCAGCTCCCGAACATGGGAGTGGCAACGGGGCCTGGACAGACGGCGTTGACGCGTATCCCGTCCTTGGCGTACTCCAGCGCGGCTGTCTGGGTCAGCCCAAGGACGGCGAACTTGGACGCGCAGTAGGGGATCGTGTACATGAATGGGACTAGACCTGCCATACTGCAGGCGTTGACGATACTGCACTCACACCGGGAAGAAACCCTACTCCATTTGAAAAGTTTGGTAGGTTCTTTCACGTGCTCGAGGCACTTTACGTCACCTCATACAAAAAGGTCATTCACGATTTTTAAAAACTATAATAGCATTTAATTAATAGTAAGGGGGATCAACAACGTGTTCAGTTAAAACTTCTCTTTACCCAATACATTTTTACATCGTGCATATGATCATATAACATGTGATATTTCCATCTAGAAATAGAATTTGTTTTATGTTTTAAAATCATTATGAAAGCAAAGACACGTCATGAATATAATGCGACTAACAGTACCAGTAATCTTGTCTTGTACCTTCACATTTTACTCATCTTCTTAGAAAGAATTTTTTGTAATTCATACTTTCTAAAAAAACAGTACACATCTTTAGCCTGGTGAAAAATAGATATGTTTACGAAAAGCAGTTAGTTATTTTTAAGAATCTCTATTCATCAGAATATCCCTTCTCAAAGCCTTCCTTAAACAATTAGATCCAACAGTCTCCGGTTTAGCCAGCACACGGTCTCAAAGCCTCACCTTGCAATATTAATCAGAACTGCAACACGTACGTAGTATACAAGGCAGAAATGTACAGTGCGAAAAGAGATTGATTCAAATTCTTCATTTTCAACATGTAGTAATATAACGTTTCGTTCAATGTATTGTTGGTTCTTACGTATTAATATAGACACACCACCGCCCATTTGATCTACAACTATGAACAGATGTTGAAGTCATGCCCCCCTCCCCCTTCGCTATATATCACATTTTTAAAAGGACAGGGTGGTATCCAATAACATAGTGTAGCCCGTTTTTAGTTGTGGATATGAACCACAATTACTCCACTTAATCGTTACTTTGATTAAAATGCTGTAGGCAATAGGTAAATGCAGAAATCACGTAGACTAAGTGCGTTCTCAACAGAAAACGTGGAGGAACTTTTGAAATATACGGATCCGGATACCAATAAAGCCTTGCACCGTTTTCTGCGCAACTGGCAATCTGCCCAGCGAGTTGTTGACATTGTTTTCAAAACAAACCGGAGGATACGATTGTGAAATCATCCTCGCATCAACTACTAGTATCCCAGGTATGTCTCAGTCGATTATAATAATCTTTAGTTTGAATCTATGTATATATTCTAATCTGTGTTTTCTTACAGAATGTGACGTTTTATCAGAATCCCATGTGGAATGCGCAATAAACAAACAAATGAACGTGAATGTGTTTTTGAGAAAAAACGTCTAGATAGGGAACGTACATGTATAAAACCCCCTGTGGTCAGAATTATCTCACGTATATCTGTATCACATTTCCTTGTGTCGTCTGACACCCGACTAGAGACAATAGACCGATCCTGAAGCCCTGCCCACCTCCATCAAACATAGAAATGCAAATATTTGATGGACATGCACACACTCTCTCTCATTGGTTGAACCGCTAATTACCATTTTCTCATTGGTTGAACTTCTGATTGTGATGGACATTCAGGGTCGGTCTATTCGGGTGCACTGAGTTGGCGCAAAGCCAGGTTAACATCGTGACAAACAACGCAAACTATCAGCGTTCTTTCTCATGCACAACTCTTCCCAAACACCTGGTTTTCTGTGCGTGTATTTCTGGGTGATAATACAAAATGTTTTGACGGACAATATGGTTTGATTGTGCAATTGGGAAATTGTAAAATCCATATGTTTGCCTGGTCAAAATTAGACCTTCACTCCTGTACGTGTTTGGTACCGTCCAGACAGCCATCCCGTAAAACAGGTTTCTAAAAGTTTCGGTCCCCGTGTACAAAAGAATACTGCTGTAGGGCACCCGCATTGTTGACTAGACCCCGGACCTGTCACCGAACATGGCGCTGCAACTGCGACTTGTTGTCGCGGTGTGCCTGCTCCTGTTTCTCGGTAGCACGGGGCGCGCGGCCGGCTTGAACATTTCAGACATCGGCGGTGTCCTCACGGAAAATCTGACACTGAGTCTGTCAGGTAGTCCTTATAGTGTCGTACGGGACCTCGTTGTTCCGGCTAACGCTATCCTCACCGTCGAAGCGGGCGTCCACCTGTGGTTCAACGCGACTGGGATCACTGTGAGGGGGGCGCTGATCGCGAATGGCACCGGGGACGATAAGATCGTCCTGCGGGCTCACCCCGACTCGGAGGTCGATTTCAACCTGACCAGGCCTCGGTCGTATCCCAACGTCAGGCTGAATCCGCTGCGGGGTCGACCAAATGAAGGGCGGCTGGAGATCTTTCACAGCGGGCAGTGGGGCACAGTTTGCCACTGGTCTGAGTGGGGAACGTGGTCTGAAAGAGAGTCGACTGTGGCCTGTAGAATGCTCGGTTTTCCTGAAGGAGGGCATTACACGGCCAACTACAGGTATTTCGGCAGGCCCAATTCGCAGCTCTACAACGTGAGGTGCACGGGAACTGAGGTATCACTAGAAGACTGTCAACACAACGAGGTAGGCACCGTCAACACGGGGCGCCCAGCTTACTGTGGTGAGTTTGACTCATTACTGTCGTAATAAAATACACAAAAGAGCAAAAATGCTATCTCTAGAGACATACTTTATACTGATTGTCCATTGAATGTAATCTTATAACCAGTGTGCAACCGCGTAGCAATCCACTAAGTGCAAGTTAGTGAAGTTTACATTTTGTTAAAAAGCTAGTACCAGGCTCCCCAGGTTTGCAACTTGTACCCTCTAGCGGCCCTGTACCCTTTACCAAAGTATTCAATCAATGTTAACCATTTTCTACTATTTTTGCAACCTTGGAAGACTAACAGAGGCCATTGAAACAGTTGTTTTTATTCATTGTAATGCCTTCAGATTTGTTACGTGCTGGTGCATAGCCTTTCCTTTTGTTAACCCTGGTGCAAGGGTGTGACGTTGTTTATCGCATCTCCCAAATGTGACACAACTGCTTTCACTTTCGCGTTTCTTCGACTTTTCTTGCCCCAAAACAGCATCTTGATGGGATAAAATTTCAACAGCATGCAGCGACAACTTACAGCATTCTATACTTTACAATCTGAGGTCGCAATAAGTTTTTCCCCTTTTCTTATTTTAGGGATATGGATACGAGACCGGGGATTTTTGTGTGTGTAATATTGGGTGTGGCTCAAACTTCTCGTTTTGAGCCTCGCGTTTCCGTGTCGTCTACGGTCGTTGCCATTTGGAACGGCCGATGCCGCATTAAAAAGTGACAAACATAGTGTGCATTAGAACGCTCCGTTAACAACATGACGTAAAGGATTAGAGTTTTAGAATTAGGCTTTTCGACCGGGTTTGAATCCGAACTTGTGTTCTACTTTTTTTCAGTAATATCTTTACTAGCTTTCACGATGCTACTGTGCATTTTACAATTGAAATGTTGCCTTTTTTGACGTTTTAGATATTTTTTCCCTTCAAAAAGTCACGGTATGCTCGGATACGACCGTTTTAATTTGGAACTGTCATTTACAAGAGGAAAACACGCATTTAGCTGCTGTGTGTTTGAAAGTTGTCAGTTAGACAACCAAGCTAGACTAATGTTAAAGTAAGCACGGTGTAAGCACGGTACTGATGTCTAAATATGTCGTCTAATATTTGTTTTGAACGCCTGCAAAAAGCTAGACGGGCAAGTTACGGACATTTTTCTGTATGTGCTTGCAGCCATGATTTCCTGCTGAGAGACTAAAAGGGCCAGGTCAAACTCCACAACAGTAAAAGTCGCTTCCTTAATTACAAGATTATGTTCGCCTGACTTGGTAAGGTGCTATCATGACACATCAAGAATTTGCAC